AACGGCATGACGTTTCTATGATGCCAGGTGGAAATCGAGGGAGCATTTTTTGGACGCAATAAACACCCGTCGGAGACGCCTTCCGGGCACCTAATATGTAATGGTTGGAAGCTTCTGGAGACGACATGACCTCACCTCTGGTGGTGTCATGCCGCTCCGGTAGCTTCGTACCTCCATAATATTGATGCTACGTGCACGACGTCTTGCTTTCCCCGGTTGTGTGTCAAAGTTGTCAGTGGGGTTAAAGGCTGCAGACGGTTTAGTGCAAGTCCATTCGACTGTGAGGGGGGGCAAGATAAACTACGGCGGCATGCCGCAAAAAATGGCCGACCCGTTTTCCGTCTTAGAGATGCCCCTTTAAACGAAGCCACCCGAATTGTTTTCTGCTGTCTTTAGCCTTGTCATTGATTTTGGTGGAAACGGGGTGACAAATGGCAAGGGCTATGGGTTTCTTGTACGGTCAAGGCCAAGGAAACCCACCTTTGTGACTCAAATAGAGGCTGCCGTCGAAGCAGGATGGTTCTAGTTCTAATAGTAGGCCACCGGAAAGTCTGACGGAAAAAAAGACACTTACCGAAGCACTGGTTGTAATTGTGGATTCATCCGAGCAAGCCGCTTGTTTCTGCGCGGATATTATAGGATGAACAAGGATCTTTGTTTGTTTTCTAAGAATACATTTGTGGAGTAAAGTATGGCAGCTAATGAATGCAGGAAGTTGGCAAGGATACAACTTGAACTGCTTTAAAGTATCAGCTGTTAATGGCCCGTTCCCCGGTTTTCGACGCCGTGAGCGGAAACAAGTTTCCCTGCTAAACTTAGCAGGAAAATTGCTGTCATGTGACATATGCACCAATTCAGTTTCCCCTCTAAATTTGGTAGGAAAACACAACACAACCTTAAAATTATTTATTCATCAACAACATATCGACGCTAAATCTGTGCAATGTCATTTCAATATCAGATCAGCGTATGACGCACGATCGGTGCAGTGTGAATTGATCATCATTGCCATATCGTCGAATAAGCAGCTCAGCTGACGCTGTCTAAATGCACCAGGTCATGTGATCGTTGTGCAATTTTTTACGGATTAGCCCACCAATTCGTTTTCACTCCCATCTTTTGCTTTTAAATTGGAAGTAAGTTATTTTTTAAACGTTACGGTCAGTATTTCTTGCTGTTTTATCTTTCTGACTTTCGCTTTGACGAATGGCTTCCCTGACTGCGAGAGTCAAGAAAGTAGTGAAAAGGTCAGGGGTGGAACGGCTGTGCCATTTGCGCCATTTTTCGGCAGACGCATGTGCCTGCGCCATCCTGTGCCATGTTGCAGAAACTGCGCCACAGCCAATACCTCGCGCCATTATGCGCCAAAGCGCAAAACGTGCGCCAAAAAACTTTTTATTTTGCCTTGGTTTCGGTTCTTTTGACTCGTGGCAACAATGAGCCACTTTTAGCCTGGTCGGCCTTGCAATCCTTTGTTCTGTTTATTCTCCCTGTGTATCCCGAGTCGAAAGCGCGCGAGAAAACTCGGATTCTAAGCGCTACACCACCTGCCACTGGATTTTTATTCTTCAACCATAAGCGGTTAAGCAAGTCGGCTGAGGTGAGGTCGAGTCGTTAAGCGTCAGATTGCCTGAGGCTCTGCGGCCCGGGATCCGGGATTCGGACGTCAGCCAGTTGAAAACAAATGAGCGAAATATTCATTTTAGTAGTGCATCGTTAGAAGTTGGAACCTTATTGTCGCAAGATAAATCGTGATTTGATAGAGCTGAAATGCGGTCCGATCCGAAACCTTGCCGGCCAGCAGCTCTTACGCGAGTGGTAGATCTACTCGGCGTACTTTAACCTAGCTCCTGCTTATCGCTTCAAATACAATAACTTCGGTAATTGTAGTCTGCTGCTTCGATATCGAGTTGCACAAAAGAAGAAACTCGAAATTTGTTGCCTTGTTCCTCTGTGCAACTGCACGTTCGTTGCTTACGCAAGTCACGTTGTTCGCACATATAATTTCTACGTCGAGCACGTGCGGGTTGTGCGATAAGCAGTGCTGGTTTGGATTTTGAGCAGCTAAAAGCCATTCAGAAAATATGAAGGACGCTGTCTTCAGAAACATAGGGTACTTGCTTTTTGATTCTTATTAAGGCTCACAAAGTTTCAAGTTTTCGCATCTGTTACACTGTTATCCCATCTACCTAGCTCCCTAACCACCCACATTCATCTGTGCTGCTAAGTACAATTGAAATTGCCCCCGTGCTTGTCTAACACACAAGCTGAAGTGCAATGAAAAGTGATCTGAGCTGCTCCTAGCCTGCTCCATAATGTAGTTTTAGCTGCTCCCAACCTGCTCCAAAATAGCTGTTTCAGCTGCTCCCGTGGCTGCACCCAAGTACATTTTATGAGTTCCACCCCTGAAAGGTACTTCTTCTTTTATGTGCCTACACAAACACGACCTCTTTGTGTGCTCCAGGTATGAGTGTCATAGTTTAAACGTCCAAGTATGCCTGTTTAAACGGAGTAAAATGGAAGTCATAGCCCAGATACATTCAATTTGTTCTTGTTTCACGAAAAAATACGTGGCCATGATGGGGCATATATGACCGCTATAAGGCACTAATTATCTGGGTAAAATGTAACCGATTTCTTATAAACCATCATGCTCAAGCGCTCAACTGATGCGTGCGACAGTGTGCACAAAATAAATGTGGCGCTGGCGGCAGCAGCTGCGGCACTTAGCTGTCTACGCTTTGTACGAAGCCTTGGTTTGAGCACATATAATTTGTTGGTGTGCATCTAGGTTGCAGAACGTTGCTGTTCAAAGATTTCTTTTCTTTTCTTTTTTCTATCACATGTTTTTGTGAGTTAATTTGTCTTTGTTTAGGCATCATTGGATATAGCAATGCTAGTTTTGTTTGTTTTTCACCCCCGCGTGATTCTGGTAGACCACACCGTAATGCCTCCCTCTCACTTGCGGATATGTGTGGAATTCGATGCTAGGCGGCAAAACCCTCCCGCTGCAAGCTCATTTCTCGGCCCCGAGAGCAATCGGTCCTAGGCTGACTTTTTCTAGGCAAAAAAAAGTTTTTACGTGTGCACGCACATACATACGTACGTGCACATACACTTCCACACACATGCTTGGTACATCCACGTCTGGATGCACATGCATGCATGTGCGAGATGCAACGTCCACGGGTCCAGTGAGCCAACACACAAGCGAGCGTCCTGCAAAAAAAAAAGAAAGAACCAGCAAGCGAACGCTGGCCTGTTTTATTCATCTAATAGCGCTATCCTCACCCCACCCTACAACCCTACACACAGCCCCATCCCCTCGTATCGGGGCACACCACCCATGGACAAGGCTTCTCGTTTTCTTGCAAAAAGCATGTTTTCAATCAATCAATCGAGGCACGCATGTTGGGGGAGGGGGTGGGGGCTGGGAGCATGCCTTGCCACTGTTGATGTGGTGCGAGGAACGATGGCGATGGGGCGCCACGGTTCACCACTGAGCATAGCCGCTGTCGCTTTGGCTCTGCTTTAAAAGGCACATGCCGAAACCAAGCCAAACACCAGTGAGCATCGCGGTGAGGCGGACCCACGTGATATCTGTGAGTCCGCGATATTTGTGAGTCAGATATTTCGTGATATTTTGAGAGTCGAGGATATTGGTGATATCGTCACGAATGGAAAATGGTGGGCGAACATAGAACTTAAAATAAATGTTTAATGAGGCGAACTTGTCCCTGCAATCTTAACAGGAAAAGCACACTGCATCTTGCGTCGGTGATGGTAGGGCGACTGCCCCGATGCAGCGCGTTACCTGTGCTCTTATACTTGCGGCGTGTTCAAGAATATTACGAACCAGAACTCCCGGTGACAGCTGAGAATGGGCTGGAATTTTCCAGAAGCATACAGAATCGCAGAATCTATCAAAATGGTACAAAAAGTTAAGATGATGCTAATTTTAGATTTTGTGAGTTGTGAAACTTGTGATCGCAGGGGGGAGAGGGGGGGGGGGGCAGGAATTGAGAGACGACTGTCCTTTCCCAGTTTGGCTTATCACCTGCCTTGGCTAAGTAGCACCATTTCTGCCGAGGTCACCAGCGTTATCTTTTGGAGTTTTTGAAATAAAGAATAGCCTGTCGTGCCAAAAATAGGGGGCGGGTCATCTTTCAGGGGTGGGGCAAATCTCGGGATACTACGATAGTAGCGCCATCTGCTTTGGGCGCGCGAAAAAATTCCCTCCGCTCTTGCAAGCTCTGTTTTTGGATCAGGATGCGCGGGCGACCTGCGCTTTGTCGTGTGGCTGCTGTCACCGCCGACATTGCGACTCTGCGGCCGAACCGCGCCACTGTGCCACGGTTCGTGAGGTTTTATTTCAGATGCGTTGACCACGAGCGTTTCGACGTCACTCGCAGCGAACATATGCGCACAATGGGCTTTGGCAGCTTTCAATAACTACCACGATGCATTAACCCACACACGGGCGAAACCCCTCCGAGGCCAAACTAACCGCCGAGTCGGGAAATGGGCACAAAGGGAAGGTCCCAATGCAGGAAACCAGGTCGACCCCATATCTTCGCCCGATGTCATCAACTCGAAATGTGAAAACGCTGTTCAATGCGCAAGCTTTCCCGCAGCGCTTCCTCTCCTTTCGCGTGATTTCCCACTGTGCTTAGAATGGCCACGGATACCTGCCGCTCCGTCGCTCTGCCAACAGTGCTGCGGTTTGGCATGGCACGAGGTGGTCGAAGGTGGTGCGTCTACCGGGTTCTTAACTTGCGACGATAGACTTTTCCAAAAGAGGACCTCTAGCCTGTGCCATTTTTAGTGTTTGTTCGTATGGCACGTGAATGACTCGCTTTGCGAAGCGACGAACGTGCGCGCACTGGACTGTGGGTTTGCAAACGTGCCAGCGTAGAGTGCCACGACGAAAGGTTTCTTTTGGCTCCCGAAGCGCGACGTCGGCGAGTGTCACTCATGGTCGCATCCGCTCTTGCTCGCAGGTGAAGAACAACTTCAGAGCAGCCATCACCATTCCAGAGAAGTCGTGGTCGCGCTTCAGGGACTCTTTCTCGGACTACGTGGAGAAGATGAAGGAGCTGACGGAGAAGTCTGCGGCGGAAGGCGGCAAGTGAGAGTCGGCCCCTCCTCGAGGCGGGCCCCCCTCGCTCCCCTTCCCCGCCAGAGAGTGACCGCGAGTGAGCAGAAAGTGAGACGGGCTTCGGAGAACACAGGGACGCGAAGGCCCGGTCAAGCAGGAGTGGTCGGAAGGGAGTGGCCGGGGAAATGCCGGCGGCCGAGGGCTCCTGCGAACGGCGGCCGGCGAGGACGAACTCACGACTTCGTGGTCTGCGCTCCGCGTGCTAGAGAAAGGGACTGGAGTGGAAAAAAAAAATGAACGAACCCAGTGTGAAACTAAGGTGAACTTGAAACTTTTTTTTTTTGTTTTACTTCCATTTTTTTTTTGTTTCTCCCGTTTTTGTCTGCAACCGGTGTTTCTTCATTTTCGGGTTTGGCTGGAGGGCAAGTCTTGCCGTGGCTTTTGCGTCTGTCAGAACTTTTTTTTTTTTCTGCGCTTTTTCCGGAAGATTGGAAAGCGTCTTTGACGCCCTCTTTCCTTCCTGCGTGAATCCCCTAAAGACAAAGCCTAGCAACTGTCCTCCAGTTTTCTCGTTTTTTTTTTTTTTGCGTTTTCAAGTCTCCCACAGAGAAAGACGTGCAGGGAGAGCTGCCCTACGAGAAAGAGAACGAGAAAGTCAAGACCAGTGTGATAGCAGCAGACAAATCCGAGAGAAGCGTCGAATGAATGGTAAAGGAAGAGTGGGAGTGAAGAGTGATGGAACCGCACCTCCGTGCGGTTTCCGAGTGGAAGGCACAGCTAGGAAAGTAATTTCAAAGGTGGGCATCGCGGTCGGCGCGCCTCGGCACTTTGTACGGTCTAGCGCGGGCGGTTTCCGTGCTGTTGCAATGAAAAGGGAGGGGCTGCGTGCAATGGGGTGTGAGGAAGGTGCGATGGAGGGTGAGGAGTGTGATGGAACATGGTGAGATTGTGAAGAGGATGATGAGTGGTGGAGTGCGAGGAGAGGGTAACTCGATGCTCGGACCGTGTGAAGTGCCGAGGCGGTTCGGCCGTGGTGCCGTTGTTTGTCACGGTCCTCCCTCGAAGCGGGAAGACCGTGTTGGTTTGTTGCAAGTTTGTACAGAGTCGGTTGTTGATCGTTGGAGAATGCGAGTCACGGGCTGTTGGATCCCGGATGGGAAAAGGGTTGGCTGGGTCGCACACCGTTGCGACCCGCGTTGTTGGAGTGGTGCGAGCTTTACAAGTCCCACCTGGTTTGGCGTTCGGTTCTTTCTCGTCAACGTGTCTTCGGAATGCGGCTGTTACGAGGCTGTCCGTTTTGTTTTTGTGCCCGGGGCTTGGGAAGGAGCGGGACGCATGACGTCCCTGTAAGGGAGGGGCTTTTCGCGAGGGGTTCGTGAGCTGGGTAGATTGGGTCATCCTTCCACTCTTGTTTGGGTGAGCGCTTGTTTCCTTGAACGAACCATGGCAATGTTTTTTCGCATCGTCGCGAGTCGAATTCAAAAACGAGGCTTTATGCGGCGCGTGTGGTGAACGGCACCCGCGATTTTTTTCGTCGTTCGATTTGTGGTTGATCCCGGTTTGTGTATAGTTGGAAGCGCAACTTTTTGGCCCATCTCCCGCGAGAAAAGACTTTTTTTGTTTCCTTTCCTTTGTTCGGAACATGCTATTCAAAGAATTTGCTAGCTTTTTTGACGAGAATGTATGGCCGTCGCCGGAACAGAGACTTTTAGGGACTTTTCAGTTATTGCTCCGCACCCGAAAAGGATTTTCTATTGTTGAGCTTTTTTGAGCTTGGTACAGAGTATTCCGCAGCTTTTTTGGCACTCTTTCTTGTTTTTAATTTTTGTTCCAAAGTAGGAGTTACGAAACTGTTATGGGGAGAGTTTTTTTTTTTCAGTGTTGACTGCCGTGAAAGAGAGAGAGAGAGTGAAAGTTGGAAAGGATATATGCGTTATATTCACTTTAGCGTCTACGAAAGGAACCGCAAGGCAATCCTTCATGGTCGACTTTAAAGCGAGCAATGTTGCATATGCAGTGGTTTGGGGCACCGTGATGACGTGTCGTAGCGGTCGCTGTGTCGGTGAGCCGCTGCGATTCGCTTGTCCCGGTGACGTCGCTGAGGTGTTTGGGGTGGCGACCTAGGTGTTTCAATTCAGGAATTGTGTGTACAAAGCTTCATCCGGCTTGCTAGGCACCTCTATTGGCCTCAACAACGCTGAGGGTCCGCTGAGGAATTTTCTAGGGAAGCCTTTTCTGATATTGGTTGTAATTGTCTTTTCAACATTCTTAAAGAAAAAGGGGGGGGGGGGGGGGGGGTATCAATTTTTCGAAGGTACAAGCTGGGCTGAGCTTGGTTATGGAGTGTCGAATAGCTGGAAACCCTCTTCGCATAAACACTGCCACTGAATGCAACGGAAGATGTAAACAATGTGCAGGTTGCCCCCATTCTTCTTCTTCTTTGTTGTTTTTTTGCGCCGCTATTCACGTTTTTTGCTTCGAGAAGGAACTCTACCGGTGAAACTTTCTGTGATTTCCTGTGCTGCTTTGCTGTGCTCTCTTAGTGACCCGTGCGCACGGTAACGTCGGTGACGCAATTTCCCGGTGACCGGATTTTATTGTAGACGTTGCTGAGACGATTTGGAGGCTTGTCATCCCTTTTCCACACTCGGTATTTGCGTTGCCCACCACATTGTTTTTGTTTTCCCCCTTGCAAACATGTTCGAAGCATTTTCTCGTGGGCAGTCTTTATTTTTTTCATGCATCGTTTACATAAATTTTTTTATTTATGGTTTTCTTTTGTACATACAAATGTGTGTGAGTCTCATCTTGTTAGCGCAGTGTTAGGACTGGGGGGATAAAGCAGAAACGAAACCGAGAGTGGAAATGTTGGCTTGGAAAGAGAAGTGGCTTCGTTGGCTTTGGCTGGCTTTGGCTGGTTTCTTACCGTCTGTATTTTGTCTCCGTGCAATGAGAGCAGTCGTCGGTCATCGGAGGCGACTTTGAGGCAATTTGTCGACGGGCCCGGATTTTCATGGTGCTTTTTTCGGTTTTTCTGTTTTTGTGCACGGCGGCTGCGCCGCCTCTGGTGTGCCCCGACGACAAGCCGGAATGGTTTCGGAGCTGTTTTGTGTGTGAAGTGCTTCGTCTGCTGTGGCGCTGTTCTGCAAGCCTAGTTTGTGTGTGACAAACCGGTTTCGGCCGTTCTTACCAAGACGCGCGAAGGTGCCGAAGGTTTCTTCAAAGCGATCGCGTGCCGCACTACGAGAAGACTCTTCGGTCAAAAACACTCCCTCCAACAAAATCAAAAGCTGCACGGCGTCGACCGTTTTCGAGGTCCGCGCACGACGACATTCCTCGAGCTGGCAAGGGTTCGAGACGTCGCCGACGAAACACCCAACAAAGGGTGACATCTCTCATCGAGGCGTGAATGTTGTTTCTAGCGTGAGTGTTTGTCCGTCTTCATAACGGGAGTGCTGCCGTCTCTATACAATCAAAGTACACGCCGCAGTAACCCGTCTTCTGTAACTCCTACCGTCGTCCTTGCCACTCACTCATACGAGCGCGTGCACAAAAAAAAAAAAAAAGTTTAAACGACGCAGTTTTTTCTTGCTTGTTTTGGTTTTGGAAAACGCACTTCAGTGTTTGTTCCCGAGCTTCCTCGGCCCTCTGTCCCGACTGACAACTTAAACAAAGCTGTACTGTGATATTAGGACACTTCGTCTCCGAGAGATCGGAAGTTTCCCAAGCTGGGGTCGCGTCTCTCGGGGATAAGCGAGCGTACCTTCTAATCAAGCTCTGTGCACATCCGTCGTTGGCGTTGCGTTTTCCGAAGCCCTCCGGTTTCCTCGGTACACCCGCATTCCCGGCAAACGTTCTAAACATTGGAAGCCGTCAGAAACAATTCCGTCATCGCACGTTGGCCCCCTCACGTCGATTTGAGCGCCCTCGGTTCGGCATGTAGGGCATTGTCGCGGTGGTAGTTTTCCTTTCTTCACTGCGCACAAGAATTTCGGTTCTGCTTTAGACCGTTCTGTTGTTCATTGCTCCCTGTTTCCCGTTTGTGCAAAAAACGTGTTTGTAACATGCGGCAACACCCCGACCTGCAGCTTGGTACTGGATCACAATTTCGTCATTTCAAGTAGGTTTTAGTTGTGTTTTATTAAGAAACCGGTGAATTTTGTGGCAATGATTTTTCGGATATCATGGTGTGTTGGTAGAATGTAGAGACTAGCTGATGCCACTTTAAATATGTCTTTTTATGTGGATGCAAACATTGTTGTTTATTTGGCCTGGCCTTTACAAAGTATTAATGGGAGGGGAAGCCCAATTGGTATCGTTAGATATGACCTAGTCGTTACTCAACTTAAACTTCCGAGGCATCAAGCCAATCCCGATTCTCACATGACGCTCAAACTTTCTTCTTACACTTGGTCTTTGCGTACAGCAACCTATTTTGCTTCGGAGTAGCTTTACGTGTCTCGAACGACCGCAGAAACCACCACTGTATCCCCTAGCACTTGTCTGTCGTCCCCTTTGACTTGGTTACAACACTCAATAGATTTTTGGTAACATTGTGGCCTCGCGATTTTAATTAATTTCCTTCGACATGTGCGAAAACGTTGTGCTTTGTTATATTTGCATGTGTGTGTGTGTGTGCACTCACCTGTCCATTGATGTGTGTACGTGCTTGCGAGCATGCAGCCCGAGAAAATCCGTATATTTTGGAAACTGGTTTCCGAGCAAGAATAGTAATTTTTTCATTTTTTGTAAGATAGTGCCACAGCAGCAGAAAGAACTTGTGAATGCGTGTCTGTTTAGGACGGTATGGCTTGGGAATGGTTGGTAGGCCTTCTGGAGACGGAAGGACTTTGCGATTTGTCGTGGTGACAACCGACGACGTTGCCCGTTTTAAGTACGGTGTCACGGCTGGCACGTGTTTTCTTGCCTTACGTTCGAATTGAAGGACCAAGCTCGAAAACGGAAGCGAAGAAGAAAAAGAAAAGACCTTCACGACGTCCCCAGAGTCGAGGCCCCCAAAAAGAAAGCATTGTGTTCCGACCCGACAAGAGACTGCACGCGATTGCTTTCGACGGTTGCTGCCGTGTTTTGTTGGAAGTCAAAGAAAAATCTACGGACACTGCTTTTTGCCAACGGGGGTGGGGGGAGTCTTCCTGTGGTGAGAGAGAGCGATACAAAACGAAGCATGGGAGGTCAACCACTTTGCAAGAGACTCTGGTGTATTATTACCTGTGGACGTTCCTGCTTCGAAAGGAAGAAAAAAAAAAATCCCTGTACATATATACTGACTTAGGTGAAGCAAAGGAAACTGTTGGCCGCACTTTTGCAGCCGACGGAGCTTGTGTGATGATGTGCTCTTCTCACTTTGTTTTTCTTCTTCCTCCGAGATGTCGTTTGTACTGCCTCAGCTGTGAATTGCCAAGGCCTGTATTGTTTGTACCTAGTAAGAAGAATCTTCGTGTTTTATAGAAAGGACAGTGTGACCGGAAGAGCAATTCTCTCCAATCTTTTTTTTTTTTTTTCGTGATTGTTTAATTTGTGTTGCGAGACACGCTGTAAGAAAAACACAAGAAGGGAGGCGGAAAACGGGCGTATATATTTTTTTCCCGCTAAGTGCACCGCGCGAGTTTGTCCCTCGGTTTGATCCTGAAAACGATGAATGTTAGGGATTTTTTTCTTTATTATTATTAAGTCTGTAGCATGTCTTCGAAAAGGTGGTATTGCCTGTCTCAGCCGAGTTTTCTGTCGTCCGATTTTTCCGACGAGTTTATCGACCTTGAGCTCCCAACAATTTAAAGTCCTACGCTCTCGTGGTCAATTTTTTTTTTGTATTTTTTTTTGCAGGAGATGGTTTGGAAAAGCTGTAATAAACACGACCCGTGTATTTGTGTGTCGAAACAACAGCAGCAGCGACAAACAAATCGACTCTGAAAACGGCTTAGAGCTCTGTCAAAACAACCGATTACGGGGAACTGTGAACCGACGGTATGTGGTTCTGTCTCTGGGTTAACTGTAGAAAAGAAGCAATGCTGTTGAATTTACATAAATAAAGAGGGACTTCATTATAAGTCTGGTGTCCTGAGTCTACAGAGCTGCCAAACGCCCAGAGTAGCACTCCAAGGAGACAATGGTTGGTGCTTGCCTCAGCACTGTGGGCTGAAGACTGAAGCTGGAGTCATTGATTCATCAGGGGGATTCTCCAAAATGGCAAGTGCATGGTGGAAGAAGAGAGGTATCTGAACAGTGCCGCCTCGCCATGGGGCTAGTGTGTCGAAGGTTTGCTCCCATTTTTGACAAACGCTGAGAGTTTGTGCTTCATGACAGGAGCTGGAGGAACCATCCTTATTCCTGCACACCTAAGGCCGCAAGGCATGCCTGCATGCCGAGCCCCAACTCGTCGGTGCCCCTGCCGGAACATGTGCAAAGCCCTTCGACCCCGCTTCGTGGCCTTGCTACGACACCACTCGTTCCACTTTAGATGAGTGTGCTGGTGTGAATCGGTCTGTCTTGATCCTCACATGTTCCACACTTTCATTTATGCTCTAGGGAACTATGTTGCAGTGCGCTAGAGTAACCTTCGGAACCATTGAAGACCAATACGACGAGCAAGTTCGTCTGCTCCTGGTGCTGAAGGTTACAGTGATGTCACTGCGCCAGGCTCCGATTGGATGATTGCTTGGGGTGGGTGCTGGCGGCTGCTGGGCTGCAGTGGCGTTGTCTGTTAATTGTGGCAATGGCAACCTTGCCTTTTTTTAGTGGCTGTCAAAAGTAGGGATGCCGCAAACTTTTTTCGAATCGAAGTTTCGATTATCGAATCAAGCGGTTCGAAAGACTTCGAAGTTTCGAACTTTCCATATCGAGAAATTCGACGGAAGTCGAATTTTCGAACTTACTAAACTAAGAAGTTTGACGCTTTTCGAATTTTCGAACTTATTACGCTGCAAAATTCGATGCTTGTCGAACTTTCGAACTTGTTAGACTAAAAAATTTGATGATTTTCGAACTTTCGAACTTATTAATCTAAAGAATTCGAAAATTGGCGAACTCTCGATTCCTGAAAAGTCAAAAGTTCGACAAACTTCGAACTTTTAGGGTAAAAGTTTGAAGCTCGTCGAACTTCGAAAGACCGGCGGGCGGTTTCATTTGGATTCAAGCAAACTTACGAATGGTCCATTCGTAATTTTTTTTCTCGCAATTTTACATGGGGTGACGCATTCCTTGCGAAAGACAATGCCGTTTATTTCAATCATCTGGCATGCTTGGTTTTAGAAAAATAGATTGCCGAAGGAGCGAGGAAGGATGATGGGTTTCTGACAATTGTCGTTTGTGCCATATTTGAAGCGCGCTATAGCCGAAGCTATTTATGGTAGAGATGTTAAACCTTTTAAGAATGATCTATATATAGCCTAGGTGAGTGTCGTCTTAAGATATGATTATTGTTGTTCAAGACGAGTTTCGAATAAATATCGAAACATGTACTTACGGACAATTATGCCCTAAATTTGGTAATTTTTTTCGCCTACATTGTTTGGGTATCGCATTTAAGTGAACACCAGAGACAGTACATATTATTACCATCTGCAGAATACAAAATAATGTATTTATTGTTTTTTTTCACGTTGAGGAATAAATTAACTCATGGGGGAAGATTTCTAAAATTGTTCAAGTTCACCGCGTCATAAAAAAAAATATTTTTTTTTCTCATTTTGCGCTTTTGGGACGTGTATCTTTTGGCCTGTACACATTTTGGTAGGTGAAACTTGTTTCATAGTTCTGGGCCTCTGAATATGCAAGAACACAACACTTCCGGCGGGTTCTCAATACTTTTTTTCCCCCCCGCTTTTTATTTTTGCATTTATTGTTATGTTTATTTATTGATTATTTTTTACCAATGGCACAGTTATTTAGGTCGAAAAGACAGCTTTGAACTGTTATGTTGTGAGGAAGAGGACATTCAGAGAGCACGCTCGCAGAAGGTGACACGCGCGGTTGCGTTTTGGAACTGACGTGCAATCGCCATAGCTGCGGCTTTGATCCCGTATGCTACTAATTAAACAGTTTGCTTAAACCATTCTCCTCAGCTTAACTAGCAACATAACATGGTGTCAGAAGTGGTGAGCAGCTCAACGTCCATATTGTAAATTTAACAAGCAACAGCAACAACAAGATGGCATCTGCTTTCCTACAACCGCCGGCTCCGTTCCAGCCTGGTGACGACCCAGCAAGAGCATGGGAGGAGTGGAAATCATCGTACCTTATCTTCGAGGCAGCCTGCGAATATGCATCCAAGCCTCTCTCAACTCGGAAAGCTTTTCTGCTCCACTGCCTTGGACCTCAGGCAAGACGAATTACGCAAACCTTTCCTCCGCAACCAACGGGAGATGGTCAAAGCGGGCAAAGAGAGAATGCAGTAGATTACATCCTGCACGAATTTGATAAACTCTATGCACCTTACAAAAGCGTCACACAAGCAACAGCCATTTTTAACACAATGAGCCAAAAGCCAGAACAAACCATTGACGAATTTGTAACTGAGCTAAAACTGCAGGCTCAGAAATGCGACTACGGAGCTCAAGAAAGCAGGCTCATTGGTGATCGTATCATCATCGGGATACGAGACGTGGCTTTGCGCGAACGATTGTTTCGTGAACCGAGTCTAACCCTGGACAAAATCATTTCAACCTGTAAAGCAGCTGAAATCTCAAAAAAACATGTGAATGATATTCAGAAAACTGAAGACGAAGTTAGAGTTGATGGACTCTATCGTCAGTCATCTAGCTTCAGGGCAGCGCAACGAAGGTATCAGCCATCCGAACCACAAAAAGACCAATCCAGCAACCGACAGCAAAGTTCGTGTTCAAGATGTGGTACTTCCCATCAACCCCGAAACTGCCCAGCTTACGGAAAGCACTGCCTTTCCTGTGGAAAATTCGGACAGTTTTTCCCGAATGTGCAACCAGACACAGCAGAAAACCTACGGATATCGACGTGTTTCTGCAGTAGAAGAAACTTCCAACTCATCCATGAACAATGACCTCAATGAAACCATCCATTTGGGAGGCATCGCAATTGGTTCAATTGGGCCAACAAAAGAGGGTGGTACGAACGCGTGTCCATTAATGGACATGAAATTCTTTTCAAGCTTGACACTGGTGCAGAGGCCAATGTTTTCTCTAGCTCTCTGCTGCACAAATGCAGGTGTCAAGTAACAATCGTGCCCACAAAAGTCGAAGTGTTGACTTTCAGTGGAGAAAACCTTGCAGTTTCTGGGAGATGCACCATTGACTGCATCGTCCAGGGGAGAAGTTATGTACTGGAGTTTTACCTACTGGACATTGAAGTTCAACCAACCCTTGGCATACAAGCGTGCTCTGACCTTAACCTCGTGAGGCGAGTCAAGCATGTAACGGTTGCAAGTTCAGCAACGGCGGCATGTCCCACCAACTTCACAGCCATTCTGTCGGAATATCCAGATGTATTTAAAGGTATTGGTCATTTTCTTGGGACGTACAAGATCACATTGAAGAAAGATGCGGTTTCCAGCATTGCAGCACCCCGGAAAATACCTCTAGCACTTGAATCTCGGGTGAAGCAAGAATTGGAAGCGATGGAACAGAACGAAATCATCGTCAAAGTGACAGAGCCAACTGACTGGGTACATCCGATAGTGATAATCCCAAAGAAAGACGGAAGCATACGGATCTGTCTGGATCCTCGCAAGCTAAACGAAGCGATCAGACGCGAGCATTACCGAATCCCAACACAAGAAGAAATGTTCAGCAAACTGAGCGGCTGCAACCTTTTCACACTATTTGATGCGAGTAAAGCATTCTGGCATATGGTGTTGGATGAGCCCAGCTCGTTCATATGCACGTTTGCCACACCATGGGGCCGTTACAGGTTCCTCCGAGTACCATTCGGTCTCTCAACTGCCCCAGAACTCTTTCAGCAGACCATGGATGACATCTTCCGTGAACACGATGACATTCGGCCTTATTTTGATGACGTTCTACTCGCAGCAAAGGATCCCCATCAGCATGAGGAACAACTACATCGAGTCCTCACACTGGCAAGAAAGCACAATTTAAAGTTCAACGCAAATAAGGTTCAGCTGGGAGTGAGTCAAGTAAAATACCTTGGACATGCTCTCACAGACAAAGGAATTGCAGCGGACAACGAAAAAGTAAAAGCTATAGCAGCTCTCAATGCCCCTACAGACAAGGCGAGCTTGCAAAGATTTTTGGGTATGATTACTTATCTGACGAAGTTTCTGCCATATCTCTCACAAAAAACGGCACTGTTGAGAAACTTGTTAAAATCGGACGCACCTTGGTACTGGGATGCCAACATGACAAGAGAGTTTGAGCATATTAAAGAGTTGCTCAAAAAGGCACCAGTTTTGGCCTTTTTCGATAGTTCCAAGCCAGTCACTCTGTCGACAGATGCTAGCTCTTATGGCATTGGATCAGTGTTGTTGCAAAATGGACAACCTGTAGCTTATGCATCCGCTTCACTGACTGAGCCACAGCAGCGGTATGCGCAAATCGAAAAGGAATTACTTGCAGTTCTGTTCGCTTGTACGCATTTTCATTTTTACGTGTTTGGACGTGAAGTGGAGGTCCAAACGGACCACAAGCCACTCATTGGGCTTAAGGAAAAGCCCTACGACCAAGTATCTCCAAGACTGCAGCGATTCCTCTTGCGCCTGCAAAATTACAATGTAAGACTGACATATGTTCCTGGAAAGTATCTGACGCTTGCAGATACTCTTTCAGGAGACCCAGATACATCTGAGGTAATCCACACAGAAGAAAACGAGCAACCCATCAATGTATGCATACTTGCAACAGCAACAGCGACAAAGTTTCAGCAAATACGGGAAGAGACTGCAACTGACCCAACGCTTCAAGTTGTGAAGCAATACATCCAGCGAGGCTGGCCAGAACACAAATTCCAAGTATCGGCAGAACTGCGGCCCTACTTCGAGATTCAAGATGAACTGCACTTGGTTGACCAGTTGGTGTGTAGAGGAGGGCGTATCGTTTTGCCAGCATCCTCTCAACCTGGT